TGGTTTCAGCTCATGGTTTCAACTACTCCTCTGATTCTTAATATAAGACCTATTTAACTAATTTAATTAGATTAAGAAAATTAGGTAAGTTAGTTAATTATAAGAAATATGACATGTTTTGCCTAAAACATCATTATCATCTTCCTTAATATCCTCTCTCCCTCTTCTACTTAATTATGATTGAGGAAGTATTCATAGGGTAATTTAGAAAAAATTGATAAATATGAGAAATAGATCTTATATTTAGGACCAAAATCAACTCAACAATTAGATCTTATATTAAGGATTGGAGGAGTATATCTGAATAACTTAAGAACCGCCTGAATATTATTCACATCAATTAATAAAAAATAGTTTACCTCGCCAAGGCTGCTGGATCCCAAGAGTAAGGAACAGCACGCTTGATATCTTCATGCAAGGCTAGATTTAGTTTATTTAATTTGACTTTGAACAGAGGGAAAAAATATCCAACCATGGCAAGGGACTTTGTGGCTGCAGCATCAACCATCCAGCAGCCAGTAAAATTGAACATCGTATTGAAGCTTCCCAGCGGAATTTGCGCTGTTATGCCTGACATCTCATTAAAATACTTTGCCATCTGGAAAATTAAACATTACAAGGTCACGAACACTGTTCAAGGAATGGGAAAAATTGCTCACACTCATCAGAGAAACAGCCATTTATCTTATGGGTAAGAAAAGCAACACAGGAAAAACAATTAATACATTCATGTACGGAACAAAAACATGATTTCATTCACAATAAAGCGATTCTTCCTAAAGAAATCTCAAAGCTTGCAGTGAGCACAAAAATAAAACAACAAATGGAGTCTATACAAATATATATAAGTCCTAATCCATCAAGATAGCTATTCATCTATTTAATCTGAAATGGAACCCTATCATTGAACGATTGGTAAAATGATAAGTTGTCAAGAAATAAGAGTTCCTAATGTCCCATTCATTTGAGAGGATTCCTTGCATAAATGAAGCATAACAGCGCTGACTCACAAGGTGATTTTCCCACTGCAAACTATTGTAGTTTCACAATCCACTAGAATAAACTTTGATACCAGGCCAGCACCGCCAACTATATACAATATGTAGTGTCAATCATCAATTCCACCAGAAGACAAGACTAACAATAGACAATCGTTCCAGAATATAGGAAAAAGCCAAACTTGCAGAGATTGTTAAAAAAAATTGTCTAGAAGTAGGTTCTAAAAGATATAGTGCATATCCCAGACTTCTCAACCTTTTATTTCTTGGCTTTGTTCTTCATTTCTCAACTACTCTATCATTTCGACAAAATTGCAAGGTTGTGAACAATCATGCCCACCCAATGCAGTTTGGATGCTGGAACTTTTGGAACAATTTGTCATTTTTTTCTATCATTTAAGCTGTTTAGGAACTACGTTTCAAGCCTTAAGAAGAACAATAAACAATACCAGACTTAAATAATCTCGAGAAGAACTTCTGTGGTAAGACTAATTTGTTCAATACAATCGAGGCATTAGTTCTTAATCTTATGAAGCCTGCAAGATAATCTAACACAATTCCTTGTTGGATATAGAGAAAACAAATAATCATAACTCAGAAGCATTCAGAACTTCAGCTAAATGGTTTTAACTTCTTAAGGCATACCAAAGTAGGGTTTAGTCAATTTAATAATATGATGTTAATCAACTCCCAGATGATATTATTATAACTATTTCATTCAAAATTTATGGGTAATACAAATTTTTATGTGTGGGTAACATCTAGCTAATTTATGGGTAACTAACACCTACAAGGCTATAAATGGTAACATGTTATCGACACCTTGATGATGAAATTAGCAAAGCCTTCTCATCAGTCTAGTTAGATGTTGCTCAATGTTCTTGCTAGTAAAAGTGGCAGTTACTAACATATTAGCAAAATGTTTCCAGCACATTTGAATGTTGTTACCAACACAACGAAAGTTCATTGTTCATCACACCAATGCACTTGCACATTAATGTGCACCACAGAATCTTCCTATGATTTATCGAAATGAGATATTTGCCAATACATCCACAAGATATGCAGCACACGCATCATATTACTACTTGCTCATCATTAGCCCAAAACAAAAGCCTTAGGAAGAATGGCATAGAACATCAGTTTGATTATTTAGTTGCTATCCTCCACAAGAAGAGACCTTTACTGGCAACGAAACGTACTTTCCCAAAAGTAGAAATTGATTTGTCTATTGCAGATTGAAAACTAAATCTTTCATAATTGGCAAAGGTAAAGGTATAATCTACAGAAATCACATTGATTAGGACAACACGAAATAAGCTTCCAAAAGACCAAATTGAACTATGGAGATAGGTCAGGCGATTAGGCATGTGTCAGAATTCTAACCATTCTCAGATAACAATAGGAGGGAAGGAAAAGAAACGTCCGTGTCTAATCATTCTGAAACCAACTTAAGTTCTATACACTGCAGAAGTCAAATGAAGGAAGGGAAAGAAACACCTACATATAGAGTTAGGCACTGCATTGAAAACATACGAATTGTCACTGGAATCTACAAGCCAATTACCAACAAAGAAATGCAATTACAACAAAACAAAAATCATCTACTAAAAAAAAAATCAGAATTCTTATGCTCCCAGTTTTCTTTGGGGGGCTCCTTTGTGCGGAATACTGCCACGAGCAAGCCAAGAAATCAAAATCTACAAGCAAAACGAATCAAAGCAATCACCTCATGGAAACTATACACCGGGGTCTTCTGTACACCAATCTCCCCTGGCGAGCAATCAATGTCCCCAGAGACATTTGGAATAACAACACCACGAGAGACAACAAGATCCCTAGTATGGTCCTCGTCGAGACGAACAAGCCTCGACCCAGTTGCCCCTTTGCAGTAGAGAAGACGAATATCGGAGGTGACATCGAAGCCTCGACCGAGAGCTTGGATTGAGTTGCAAAGAGTTGCAACGAGAGAATCAGAGCTGGAGCTTCTTATTGCAGTTGCTGTTGCTGGGTTATCCATGAATTGAAATGAAACCTCAGGATTCAATGAAGGAAAGAGGATGAAGATGAACAGGAAAATGTCTCAGTGGTTTGGAATCGCATATTTATGTATTGCACAACACAGATTTTTTTGATTTTTTGGGGAAGAGAGAATATGAAGGGGCTGGGAAGCTTGGACTTTGTAGTTGGTGAGCTTCGTTGTTGTTCTTTGCTTTGCTTGTCGCTCTGAAAGGCAGGCATTTGACTGGAATAACATTTGTGTCTGAAAAACGCGTTTTTTTCGTATTCTGTGGGGACCACATACGGTTCTCTTTTAATCCTTTTCTCTTTCTCTCTTCTCTCAAGTTTGAACTCTTAAATGCTACTGAGATTTTAGGGTTGACTCATCTTTTATCTTTTATTCCAGTTTTCGTGAACATTTGGATCACTCCCAAGAATATTACTTGTCGATTTTAAACGATAAAATTATTTAAATCAAATATCCCACATTTAGGTATATTTTTGACGATACCATGTAATTTGTTCTTTCCATAAATATATCAAAAACGACGTCAACAAAATCCACTCAACAAATAAATAACTAAATTTTTTTTGTGCCTAAATTTTACAAGCTTTTCATTTTGTTAATACATAATCAAATTTAAAATATTGTTAGATTCTAGTAGAGGCAATTCTCCAAACAAAAATTTGAATTCCCCAAATTATAAGAGATTATTTCTCAGTTTCTGTTTATAAGTCATTTTCTCGTGTATAGATTAAGAAAAATTTTAAATTTTATTAATTTATATTTAAAATTTAATAACATTCTAATTTAATCCTTATTTAATATACATTATACCTCATATAAAAAAATTAATATAATAATAAATAAAAGATAAAATTATATATTTATATAAAAAATTTCTCTCAGTGTTTTATAAATAAAACTAAAAAAATATCTTTTTCTCTACCTTATAAATAAAACTATAGAAATAGCTTCTTCTGTTAAATCTTCTTCTATATAAAAAAAAAAAGGACTTTTTTATAATAAAAAACTGCAATTAGGGATTTTGTTTTTTCTCCAAAATATCAGTCATCTTAAAATATAAAAGAGTATTAATTATTTTTGTGATTCTACCCTTTATAATAATAACAATCACAAGTCAAAGAATCTCAAATGCTCTCTTTTTCCATTAATTGAAATGAAGTTGTATTCACGTCAAATGGTAAGAATTTTGTGGGTTGTAGATTTACTTCTTTTTATGTTTTCAATTAAAATCATTAATATTTAATGAACAACTTGCGTAAGTCCTAAGAAATCTGAAACTGGCTTAGGTGATAAAAATAAGTTGTGAAAACACTGGATAATTATTGCCTATCTTTAGCATTATTTCTTCTGATACTATTTATTTAAAAATATAAGAAAAATAAAAACAACTAACTTTGAAAAGATAACTATTTAACGGCAAAAAATATCCAAGTTAAACTATTATACTCCTCCGGTCCTTATTATAAGACCCACTTTGACTTTTTATTTGGTCCTAATTATAAGACCCAATCCATTTTCTCTCTTATATTTATGCATTTTTTTCCAAAATAATCCTTCTAATAATGATAGTTTTAGCCAATATACTTAATTAGCAAGGATATTTTATGAATAACAACACTTATTTATAATAAATAACCAACCTAACTTACTTCCTTAATCTCTTCAAATAAGTCAATTGGGTCTTATAATTAGGATCGGAGGAGTACAAATTTTATTTTGCCGAGATAATCAGAATATAAGGAGAACAACAAAACGCGTAGCAGACGGGTGGTCACCTGGAGAAGGAAAAAAAAAAAAAAAAAAAACAGGGCAAATTCGAATCGCAACATCATAGCATGATAAACGAAGAACAAAAGGCTCTATGACTGTTTAGTTACTCTTTCTTCTACTGGTAGCAGTCCTTGCTAGTTGCAGGACTCAGATCAGAACCATACATGGACATCAAAATGAATTAACACACTCCAAACCAAATCCTAAACCCCATAACTTGAGATTTCATCCATGATATTAGCCACAACCTCCTTGCATTCTTTGAGGACTTTAAGCCCCTTGTTAATCCTCTCTCTCTTCCCAGAAACTGAAGGAGGTTCCACCAGCAAGCTTTCAATACCACCCCCACATGGACCCATGAAATCACTAATAATCGCTTGCTCCAAATCCTTGTTCACAAGGCTGTTGATGCTGAACTGAAGGTGAAGAGCAGTACTGTCAATGAGCCTCCTCACCACTACCTTCCAATATGCAGTGATCCTCATCTTCAAGTCAAATGCTTGATTAGTGTCATGTTCTGGGTACCGCCCTAGATGAGCAATTTCAACTTCTCCAATGTCTTGAAGCTTTACCTGACTTAGCTTTTGATTTTTACCTTTCATGAAGACATCTTTCTGAGCCATTAGCCTGTTGTATTCAGAACTGTACTCAGGATTACAAGTGTAATCAGTCAGCTTTTCCATTTCCACTATGCCCATAACATATTTGATAGATTGCTCCTTCATCTTAGCGATAAGATTCCGCGCTGATCGTCGAGTACACTTCTGAAGAAGCTCATAGTGTTCTGTGTGACGCATCAGAACATTAAGCACCACGCTTTCAAGATAGTCCCATACCTTATCGATGAACCCGACTGGGATGCCGGAAATCCCCCTCACTTTACTGTGCAGGACAGTCAGAAAAGCAGTGCGAGGCATGAAGTTTGGTAGTCCGATGCACTTGGCTTCCTCAAGAACCTTTATTTCCTCCATCAAAAAGCTCTTGGCGGGATCACTAGCAGGACATGTGTGGAGATCGTTTGAGTACTGGTTCAGCATATCAACAAGGCGAGCGGTGCAATGCATGTGCTTCTCACCAGGGTACTCATCAAATTCTCCTCTGATGAGAATTTTCTTCAGTGATTCTGCAGATAAGCCGATTTGATGCATCACAAGACTCATAGCTTCGGCTACTGAAGCAAGATTCTTGGGTAGACACTCCAGTTCCGATAGGTAAAAACTGAACTTGTCATTAATCTTTTTTACTATCTCTGGCAATGTCTTGGATATGCCAAGTGCTTGGAGTTTAACCAACTTCTGTGCCAAAACAGGAACACCCACAATTGACGAGTCTATTTTGGACAGAAGTGGGTGGGTCTCAAAGAGTTTAGCTTCTTCCACACGAGCTTCTTCATAGGATTCATCCCCTATGCGATTTCTCACGCACACATACCCAAGACCAATATTCACGTCATTAGTGGTGATCTTCTCCAGCAGGCCTTGTGGGGCCAAGTCAGGCTTTGTGATCACAGCCAAGGTCCTCTCTCCAGATTTATCCACACTCTGTGACATCCTGATGGATTCACAGGTAGGAAAATCAACCGTAGCTGCTAGAACATTGAGAATAATGCTCTCTTCGGGCTTTATGTACTCCATGATAATGCCCTTAATCTGGTCATAGATATCCTCAGGCTGGTCACGAACAGGCACCCGAGTAATACCAGGAAGATCGACCATTGTCAGATCAGGAACCCCATTCTTCTTCACCAACAAAGTTAACCTGGAGTTGGATATGCCTTTTCCCTTGCCTGCAAGCTCATTTGTGGCAGCATTAATAGTCTCAGAGACATGAGCCTCGTCTGTAGGCACAGATTTACCATTATATTCCAAGACCAGCTCGGGTTTGGAGAGAGGATGGTTTTGAAGCCTCATGATTAGAGGGACCCTGGTGACGATATCTTGGCCACGTGGCAGGCTGATTCCGGCAAGGGATTCGAGGACACTAGACTTGCCAGAGGACTGGTCACCCACAACGACAATAGAAGGAAGGTAGACGCCTTCTTGGGAAATGTTAAGGCGCCTGAGGCTTTCAATGGCATCAAGGATAGGGCGAATACACTCATTGTAAGAGGCTGTGATGGGTGCCACCTTGAGTGGCTGTGGTTGGGGATGGAGGATGATGGAGTTGTTGGTGGATGCAGTGGGAGAGCCGAGGCCTAGTGTAACCATTTCTAGAGAGAATATGAGGAAGTGGATGGTAGGTATGAGTGCCACAGAACTGAATGACACAAGCAAAGACAGGGTTCACTATATGGTATATATAGGCATAGAAGAAGAAGGGATTTGAAAAGTGAAACGATGGTAGGGGATGTGGCGGGAAAAGGAAAGTAGGGGAAGAGATGAAGGTAACTGGTTGGAACGGAGTGCCAATGGGAGCTCTGGGACTGACGGAGCAACCAGCTTTGCTGGCTAGCTGCAGGAGCTATGCGGTGTCGTAGTACGAAAGTGAACTCTCATTGGATCCACGTCAAAATGAAATGAAAAGGTCGAATAACATAACAGGAGATTTTTGAAGATTCGTTTTGGCGAGAGATTTGAAGGTATGGGATGGACGCAAGGTGAAGGGAATGGGCAATGGAGTGGGAGGGAAAGTAAGCAGAGGAGTGTGGCAAAAGCCAAAAACATTGAATAATGTGTCGTTTCACTTTTTGGAGTGTAGGAGAAGTCAGTACAGTACAGGCTGCAAGAGTTAGTTGACTTGGAACGTCTCCACCGAAGCGGGGAGCCGGAGGACGCGGCATCTCTCCTTGTCTTCGGGAAAGAATTATAATGAGATACTTAAAAATAAATAAATAAATAAATAAAAAATTTTTTTAAAAAAATCATTCTTCATTTTAAAACTTATTATTATAAAATATTTAGATTATTGTTCAAACTTTTTAATAATTATTTTTTTTAAGGGATTGTAATTTTTTCTTTCTTTTGACATTAGCTGTCATTCTTCTTTCCCAGTCTATGCCACATTAGGAGAAAATAAGGAAGGATGGATTTTTTTATTTTTTAAAAAATTTAACATACTAAAATATTTTTAAAATTAATTTTTAGTATACTCGGCGTTTGAAAAGTATTTTTTTTAAGTAACACTTAGTATTTAACTTCAGTACTCTGAAATATTTTCTAATAACGCTTAGCATCTTAAAAGCTTTTCAGTAATACCACAAAATATCAAGCATCCATCACACAGGAGTCTGATTTTTCCAATAACAATTATATTGTAAACTAATTTTTAGTATATTCAGAATCTTAATTTTTTTTCATTACAAATCTTTGCTAGAAGAATTACAAGCAAAATACAAAATAAAATAAAGAAATGCAAAAACTCCAAATCTTTATGCTCATCTCGATTGCAATTGGTTAGAATAATTATGCTTTACTAATGTAAATTATGTGTTGTCAGATGACTGACCGTATGATGTTTACAGTAAGGATTAAAGAAAATGGGTTCAAAAAGGGTTAAATTTGATATTATATACAGCCACGACCTTTTATACCCCTCACTCTCTCTCCCTCTCTACTTAATGCAAAATTGTAGATTAAATTTAATGACTTGGGGTCAAAATTTTAACCCCGACATGGTGGAGCCAGATCATCCGATGTGCCATCTGTTAAGAATCCATCATAGTGTTGAACTAGCCTTTGAAGGTGAAATCTCACTTTTGTGGACTAACTGATGATCCGTAGAACAACCCGTTAAAGTATTGACGGATTCTAAGCTGAAGGTATGGAGTGACACTGAAGATTGAGTCTGGCTTCCATTCAAACTCTGCCTTGACCATTGATCAAGATCTCTCAAGGCTTTAAACCTCAAGTCTTCATTGTAAGCACCAGCTTCTGGAACTGCCTCTGGAATATCCATTCGTCCTTCAAGCATATTTATAACCTCAGACATTGCGGGCCTGAGTGATGGTGATGCATTTGTGCACAGAAGAGCTACTTTGAGCACTTTTTCTGCTTCCCTTTCATCACCCATTGACCCCATTCTTTCATCTACCAACTCCATTAACTTTCCACTTTGTTGCAACTGGCACGCCTGCAATTTAAATGTCGCTGTCAGTTGGAGATGGAAGACGTACTAACAGTTACTATAATATATTACACTTCTAGCCCCTTGGTAACAAAAGTTGTCAGAAATCATTCTATCTGCACAAATTGTCAAGTAAAAACAGATGACTAGCTATTAGAATTTATAATAGTAACATTAACATACCCACTCTAGAAGACAAACAGCTCCATTATCTGGCACATAATTGTTATTGCTTTTTCCAGTAACAATTTCTAAGGCTAGGACACCAAAACTGTAAACATCTGCCTTATATGTTAGATGGCCCCATAATGCATATTCCGGCGCCATATATCCTCTGCAAAAAGAAAATGATAACCAATAAATTATATAAGCACCTAGTCATCAAAAACAGAGCCATATGATGTGAGCATAGACAAGTTACATAGTTCCAGCAACTCGAGTCGTGATATGTGTCTTCTCTTCTTCATTAAGCTTTGCCAAACCAAAATCCGATATTTTAGGATTTAAATTGCCATCGAGTAACACATTAGTAGCCTTGATATCTCTGTGCACAATCCTGAGCCTTGACTCTTCGTGAAGGAATGCAAGACCTTTTGCAATGCCAATGCAGATCCTAACTCTTGTGGGCCAATCCAGTTGAATCCGATTGTTTTCATTGCCTATAAAATATCATCAAATGATAAAACAAATAATATCTAGACATTAATTTCTCCCTTCTAATGTTTAAGGATGGAGTTCCAAAATGGCATCAACAGGGAGTCACAATTTTAATTGAGAGGAGTTATAGGGGATCTATTTTTAATAAAGTTCTCATCATCATCACTCCACAAGATAGACGTTTAGAAATTTATGGCCAAGTGATGACTCACCAAATAAAGCACGGGCAAGGTTATTATTTTCCATGTACTCATATACCAACAGTAGTTGATCCCCTTCAATGCAAGATCCATAAAGTTTCACAAGGTTAGGATGTTGCAAACAAGATATTAGGCCTATTTCATTTAGAAATTCACGATTTCCCTGCCGTGACATTGATGATAGTTGCTTGACTGCTATAACAGTACCATCAGGTAACTGACCCTGCATTCGTATAAATCAAATTAACATCCCTGGACATTAAGGATTTTAATTCAGATGAAAAAGATTATCTGAAATTAAGTTAGAATACCTTGTACACAGGACCAAAACCGCCTTCTCCAATTTTATTATCATAAGAGAAGTCATTAGTGGCCGCTCTCAACTGTTTGACGCTGAAAGTTCCCGACTGAATATCTGCTTCCATGGAATCCAAGATAAAGAAAAGTGTATGTTAACAATTTGGTTAACTTTTTGATAACTTGCTTCAGTGTAGGAAAAAGTAAAAAGCATCTCTGAACAGGCAAGAGATTGTAACCAGTAGATATTGCAGCAGTGCTGGAAAAGAACAGGCAACTATTGAATGGGAACATCAAAGCAGGGCAGGAGACGGTTAGATCCAGAAAGGCAACTATTGACGAGAACACCAAAGTAGGGTAGAAGACAGTTAAGTCCAAAAAATTGTAACAGCAAAGAACCCCAACGAAAAAGATAACATTAAACAAAAAGGAAACAACAGGAAAACACCGATCACAAAGGCATCCCAAAAAAATCTCCACCCTTAATTTTCTCAAATGTGCTTCTTTCTTAGGTGTACGCATCAACTACAAAAATTGGAAGATTTTATAAAATAAAACCAGGATATGAGCCTATGGTCTTACATTGCTCTCATTCAGTCAAAATAAGTCTTCATGACTTCCCTCCCCCTCTTCTACATACCCTATGGGTAGAATATAGATCAATCCGCTTGTATCATTCCGGACCAAATACATTAGTGGATAACGTTATCTATGTATTCATTTAGAAGTAAATAACTCCCTAGTAATTAAACTCAGTAATCGCCCAGATAAAACACTAGTATTTTAGGCTTTCAAACTTTTTTCTCCTTTCCTGATGGAAACTTTACAAAATAGAGCCTTGAAAATGACAAATGGGAGAGTGGCTTTACCTTCTGTCTTTTGGAGTTCTCCTTTGAAACAGCCTTTCCACCAAATGATCCCTGCCATAAAAAGCACTAAGCATAGAGCAGCGCTTCCGATTGCAATGAACTTATTAACACCATTCTTTCCACCATTTGAGCAAGGTCTGGAATCTGACAAAAAATACAGAAAAATGATATAGAAATCATCTGAATTTTAGTAATCAACAAATTTGTTCAGCTTACCTGGTCTTGTATATCTTGTAATATAATAGAGGACCAATGCAACATTTTTATTAAAGTTAAGAACAAAAATTTATTTGAAAGCAACCATGTAGAACGGTAGAAATGGGAAAAAAGAAAAAGAAAAGAACAACACCAAGGATGCCAAGCTACAAGGACGACAGTAGTACAAAACACCAAAATAAACAGAAGGGAAATCCGCCCAAATAACTTACCAGAAAAAAAAGACAATGCTGACACAATGGGACCATAAACTCCTATATCAGGAATTCTAGTTGTTCCTTTTCCTGCCCATTGGAACCGGATCTCCAAGACATTATTTGTGACACTGACATTATATATCGGCAATATCAGTGGTTTTTGAGCAACTTTTGTCTCACTCTCAATATTTAAATCCTTCCGAATTAATTGTTCCTGAAACAAAGTTGCATTTTAAAATCCTGATCCGGAAATTACAGCTAAATTATCAGTCTGGCCAGTTACCTGAACATAGATATCAAATATGCGCTTCCCCAGACTTGTATATGTATTATCATTTGTGAACTGTATTTCAGAAAAGTGGAGATTTACAGTGTAGTTCCCATTCTCCATGCAATTATGGAAATAAGTAAGTGAAAGTGGAGATATACGAGCTGTCGAATATAGTTCAGGCATATTTGAAGATGGCAGAGATACAGTGTATCTTATATTCTGGGATTCAAAATCATCCATGAAGTCTCCAGTACTACTGAACCCCCAGTTATCACTGCTGCTATAGTAGTATGTTGCTGAACCGCCGCCAACATTTCCATCCCCTAAATAAAGGTGTTCACCCTTATTTTCTGTTATCTTTACATCCATCCCACCACTATTTATGTGCAAGCAAGTTGAATCTGACATGAAACGGTGGAGATATCATGAGAAGGGAAAACTTGCATTTTCATTCAGTAAAGCGCAGAAGTTTAACCTGATTGTGGGTAAAATGATTCATTTGTAAGAATTTCATGGTAACCAAGACTTTAGATCTTCGTTCTTGAGCATTTATACTATATATAAGTACTTTTCTAAACTTTGAGAAATTCTAGTATTCCATTTCATCTTAAAATATTGCCCCACTCACCAAGACTTAAAAAAGAAAAGAACCGCTAAAACATTTGTTTATAACAAGATATATACTTCAAAAAGTATATATTTACATATAAACATGAAGAATACATAAATTGGCAAACTTCTGGTAATAACTTAAGATAACGTTTGAAGAGAATCTACACACACACACACAAGTTCTACTTTACTATTCATTGCTATTCTTAATGTCTTGTCAATCTACAATGTCAATAAATAATATTTTTTCGCCTTTTGTTTTATCTATTCCATAGATATAGAAAAGGAAGATAATTGGCGATGTTTATGATTGGAGGTTTAGTACATACTGTTGGAGCTGACAATAAATAAACAAAAGCTCAAGACTTCAAGTGAAACTCATGGTGTACTCGTGACATTGATGATCCAAAACAGTACACACTTACACTGTTGACAATTGAAATTCTCTAAGCAAGGGACATATTCTTCTCTGCCAAAAGAAGGATATGCAAATAAGAATATTTTCAGTTTCTTTCGTCCAACAAAAGAATCAAGAGAAGAGAAACTTACAACTTGTTCTTCTTTTTAAAGCTTCTGAACAAATTCAGATACAAGTTCCTGACGAAATGAAACAACGTGAAACAGTTTTCAGTATAAGAGAAAACCGAATTTTGAAAGTTAAAGAAAAAAATTCTGGTTACTACAAACGTTTTCACATTTTGACCTGTTATCCTGACAAGCAGGTTGCTCGGGGCCTTGCCAAGTAAAGTTGTTGTACGAAAGATCACTGGTCCAACAAGGGAACTTCCATCAGAACAAGAAATAGACATCCTAAATTAGTATAATTACATTCTTACCATGAATAATAATAATTTCAACAGAAAAGGCCAACTATTGATTTTATCTCATTAACAATATCTGAAACGAGAAGAAATGGCCATCTTAAACAGTCTGATTAGAATCTCCCCCAGCTAAGAAAAAATTAAACTTAAGACTCCAGCACAAGATACAACACTTAGCATCTGGTGTTTTGTTGCCATTTAATCAATGCCACTTCAGCGGATTGAAACATAGAACCCGGAATGGAAAGTCTGAAGGTGGACGATTCCTGGTTATACACCAAAGAATTCTATATCGCATAAATTAAGTCTCTTTCCTCCGATATTTTTGACCAAGTCACATGATATAGTTTAAAAATTACTCTCTATGATGTAACGCAGCTGCCTCATTTGAGTCAAATGCTGTCTTTCCCAGTTCCAGCTGCTACTTTTTGTAATTGACATCTAAATTTAGATAAATCAAGATAAATATTAATTGAGCACGAAGGTTCCGAATTTGTATTTTCTTATGCAATGATAACAATTAGAATATTTCCTTTTTAATGTGGATCCAGACATCATGGGTAATTTATTATTAGTCTATAAAAACTATAAGCAAGGGCTAGAAACTATACCAAACAAGAAGACTACTATTTTAGTCAACCAGGATTGTTATGTTTGACACCCTATAATTGGATTCATTGATGATAATTAGAGAGGTTAGTTGCTCGTCAACTACCCTTTTGTCTTTTTTTTTTTTGTTGAACTCATGAAAGAGAAGGATAAGTCAACTGCAGGTATCGACAATGCAATCAATCGCCAAATTGAACATTCAAATCTACAACCTTGCAGTAAAATGAAAACCCCAAGACTTACATGCTACTTCCACCGTTCAAGATTTCTGGTACATTTCCACTTAGCATATTTCCTGTAAGGTACCTAAGAAAAGCAATGCCAAACAGTCTCGTGTCAATATTGGATCATAAAAGCAACTATTAACTTTGAATAGTGAAGAAATATGAGCGCCACATGACCCAGGACCGGGTTTCCAAAAAAGATATGTAACCATGAAATCAGATTAATACCATGTCATTTCACAATGACTGTATGAGAGTATATGTTTAAATAAGCTTTGCACAACTTCATATCCCTTTTCATTTTTTTGATTTACCAGTCAAGAGTAACAAAATGCAATACGATTTAGAGTAAGTCACTTACATATATCTCAGACGTCTGGTATATATAACTGGTGGAATGTGCCCAAATATCTTATTAAAACTGACATCCCTGTCAATTTAAAACAAACAAAGAAAGGGGGAAACATTCTTAAAATTGCTCATGCTGATTTACACTTTTGCTATTGGTTAGTAATCTCCCATTAATAGTAGCATTTTTTATGGGTGTGGGATATAGTAAGATATTGACACAGATGGTTTAATAAATTTAGTTAATAATCATGAGTTTTTTTTTTTTTTGGTTTTGGGACAATCAAATTTCTTTTTACAATATTCAGATGATGAGCCAAAGAGCCGTACATTAACATTGACAATAAACGCACTCAATTCCTGTCAATGTATCACTTAGCATAAGTCAATCAGCAAGACATTATCTCAAAATATTAATGTTTCATCGTGATTTTTATGATTTACTTGCATGGTTGGAAGAGCTGTCCCCTCGATTTCCGGTTTCAGAGTTAATTATCCATTCTTTTGATTTAGAACTTTGCAGCAAATTTATCTTTTAAAGAATAATGTTATGATTCACATCTGAAAAAAAAAAAAAAAAACAGGGTGGATATTGTTATTACTTTTGTTATCGAAAAAGACAATAGGAAACGTAATTAAGTAACTTCTTGTAGCTTTCTACTGTGACATCCTTTCCTTTTTCCCTTTAAAACCATGGATTTGTTATCATATTATTGGAACACAAAAATCCTTTCTCTGCAACCTGCAGTCGCCACTGAATATCTTTTTTAATATTCTTACATTTCAATCCCTAGAAACTAGCCAGAGTCATCAGATTAAAGTAAGAAATCATCATTGTGGACTCAAGTCATGGTATGCTAAGATACAAAGCATCATAGTTTTGTGCATTATCTCAATGCTAGAAAGTGATTTAATGATCAATATAATCATATATGAAATATCTATGATTTTGATGAACTTAGTAACAAAAAGTATTAACCAAACATCATTTTGCAGGCAAATTAATTTAAAAAGAAATGGGTTCCTTTTTTTGGAGCATAAAAGAAGCAAGTTCTTATTAATACACAGATGCAGATTTCGCATGATGTAGGCAAAGAAACTTTACATTCTTTACTTACAATGTTATCAAATTCATCATTCTCCAGATGTACGAAGGTATCTCCCCAGTAAGGTTACAGTTCCTCAAAACTCTTAAGAAACAAGAAGGCATTAAACTTCTTGCCAACAAATTAAGAATAAATATCGCTTTAAATAAAAATGCATATATTTATTACACACACACACGCACACAAAAAAAAAACTCTAGCAGCAGTATACGTACAATATTTCCATGTATGGCATGTTTTTCAGCAAAGGAAAACCTTGACTAGGACTATTTATGTCACTGATTCTCCTGAATGAAGATTTTGCACCATGAGCCATACTATAAATATAATAAACAAAACTGAAGTAGAAAAAAAATTATAATAAGACAACGGTATTTTTACTTACAGCTGTTTTAATTTCTCCAAAAATGATACATTTGATGGGATTGGTCCCTTTAGTCCACTTGCATGCATTTCTCTTAATGAATAAGAACTAAAATGAGGATGGGGTTGGTAAATCTTACAAGCTCATATATTTTTCAAACAAAATACAGTTAAAGTATTAAAAAAGGAAAAAGAAATAGAATCTCAGAGTCTTTGCAGAAGCTTCCAGTTTTGTATGAAGTTAGGTATGCTTCCATTGAAGTTGTTATTATTTATCCTACTGCAAGGCAACAAAGTTTTTTATGCATCACCCACAGGTATCAGAAGCGCAGTATTTGTCTTCAAAAGAAACTCAATGAAAGCTTACAAGTCAGTCAAATTCTGCAACCCAGCAAGGGTCCCTGGTAAGTCCCCGGTCAATTGATTGGATGACAGTACCCTTCATCGGTATTATTGTAGATATAAATTGTCAGGTTACATCATCTCATATCTTTGAAAGGAAGTCCAACAACGGAAAGATCAAATAGAAATTTGAAAAGTTAGAAACGGAAATAAGGTATCTTACAACGTCTGCAACTTGATTAGGCTCCCAAGCTCAGGAGGAATGACCCCAGAAAATTGGTTTGCTTCAAGCATCCTATTCCAAACTTTTGTGACGGAAAATGCAGACTTTTGAGACAACGTAAATTGGCCGATCTTTCACAATCAGACCTTTAAAGTGGACCTTACTCAAAGAATGCAATAAAATCTATACTTTTCCATTGTGTGTGTTATTAAATGAAAGCCTGAAACATACAGGTATGTGAGAGAAGTAATATTCCCTAGATGCTTAGGAATTTCCCCTGATAAGCGGTTCACAAGAAGAGAGCTGCATGATATAGGTAAGATGTAATCAGCATGATATAGGAATCAACGAAAGAAAATATTTTCACAATTTCCAACTGGCGGGCAATCACTCACATTGAAGTTAGATTCATCGAAGCCCATTCCTTTGGAATAGTACCAGTAAAGAGATTGTAAGCAAAATCTCTGTCAATAAAAGAAAAAATAATTTTTCAATTGCTAAGAGTTTTAGAAACAAAAACATAAAATCAGCACTGAACTTTAAGATTATAACGGGGATAAAATCAGCACAAGGAGTTAAGGCTATTGCAAATTTTAACAGAAAAAAAGTATTTCAAGTTGCTTGTACATTTCTTGAAGATAGGGTAGCTTGACCAGTTGAGCTGGAAGCATGCCGGGGAGGCTAAGGCGCTTGAGAGTCCTAAAAAAAGCCAAATGGAAGCATAAGAATTCATTCAACAATTATAAAGGATGTATATTTTAGAATTAGGTCCTTTAGTTTTGGAAATTAAATTCAAGTTTCCCATGGAAGTTTGTCATGTTCACTATTTTATTCTCATATCACAAATCTAAGGTGTACACACACAAATACATACATGCACATATATAAGCTTACCAAAAACTTAAGAAGATAGAATAATTAGGAAGCCATACATTTTTACAACATGGCAGACTGTGTTGTTTTCAAATTTGCAGTCACATTCTAGCCTTCTCTCTGATCCAGGAGAGAGTTCCTGTGTTACATCAACTGTATCGATTCCGCAGGAATCATTAATCTTCCAATAGCTTGCTCCCATTGTTCTTGTAATTTCTTGAAGAGCATGAACTGAATGACATTTATGATCAAATTGTAAGCTTTGATTGTATACAAATGCAAGTGCATGTGAGCATGTGAGAGGCAGAGAAGACAACAAATTCAAGACTCTGTCATATGAATAGGACACAAGAAGTTTTGTAGAAAAAAGAGGCCAACCCTTAAGTCAACCAGAAAGCGGCCAACCCGCTGTAACTGACATTAGAGAACTGCAGTATAAAGCGAGACCAAAAAAAAAATTACAGAGTTTCTTAAGACAATCTTTCCGGTGATCTAGCTGCCCAAGAAGCAAATCATATGTTGTCAGAACTAAAGTGCAAAACCAAGAACTTATGATGAGTTGTTCAATTGAGATACATGAGTGTTCGAAGATTAAAGAGCTCCGACCCCCAAAAAAAGATATTGATACTTAAATTTGGACCCAAATTTTGAAATTCTAATACAAAATTATTTCATTGAAATTTATAAGTTCCCAGTAATACAAGCCATGCCAGAGAAGAATGAGGAGGAGAACAAAATAGAATGGGAAAGGAAAAGCATTTGGCTACACGTATGAAGAAAAATTAAGTTAAAGAGATATGGTAATTAAATTACACGTTCCCTCATAATCTTCTCTTCAACAAGATACTTAAGACCTCTGGCAATAGCTTAACTGATCATGTACTCGTTTACGTGGCTAAAAGGTTTGGACTCAGGATCCAGGTAGACTGGGGTCTGCTACAGAGTGGAGTTTGCTAAACTACATCACACTTTTTTTTTCATCTTATATATCTTTTTATCTAGAATCTTTCATCTTATATTCTCTTGTTTTCCAAAAAATACAATATGACTTTTGTTTCTAATAATATTTTCTTCCTACGAGCAAGCGATATGTGAAATCCAATATAACTCCAAACATGACTTGGTCAAAGCGAATGCAGTTAGTTACTTTAAAGAGCAAACAAACTAAGATTCGCAATATCTAATTAAATTAATTTCACGATAAAGCGAGTAAAACTTGAGTAGAATTCTTTCATTAAAGAAAAAAAGAAAAGGATCAAATAAGGTGGCAAGGCTGCAATCGGATCAGTTGAATTAACCCTTTCAGCTTCAGGGCCGAGAACAAAATTGGCAGGCAAAGAGTCAAATAAATCAAGACGCACTTGAGTAAACAGAGAATAAAACTCATAAAGCTTCCAGTGTGTTGCTGGATATTGAAAGGGAAAAAAGAAACAGCCATTTCAAATATCAAGTCCCAGCATTACGATGTTTCTAATTTTCTCAGCAGCTAACATTCCGCGTGAAGTACGGCCAAAAAATCGAGCCTTACCTTCATCTTGAGGTAACTTTGACTCATGAGAAATTCCCAGAAACTGGAAACAAGTTAATGCCACAAGTAAGAGCTCAAAGAAGTTGGCAGCCTGCATATTCCTCTACGAAGCAGCAAGAATCACCACAAGAGAACTAGTTGAAACCATACAAACACTCTCCAAAATGATATATTCAATGATTGGAGCTTCGGGGAACCCAAATTTGAAAATGGAGGCTAAGCTTGCTGCTGACAGAGTTTGCTGATCGCATAAGTCTTACGAGATTATTAATTGCATACATGGAACGGGGGTGGAGACTTGAGGACACTAATGACTAATGAGCCTGAAAGAAAGCGACTTTGAAAGCGCAAAAAAACAAGGAAGAAGAAAACGACATTCCTGAGCTCTGATCTATAGGCAAAGGGAAAGAATCCATTTTAATATATATACACAAAATTATTCACACTCTCCCTCGCAGGTCGTAACAACTAGATTCCTTGCCGAAACCAGGACAAATTACTAGGGGTCGAAGCATACCTGAGCATTGACCCAGAAAAATATGTATATTTTAATTGCTTAGATTATAAAATTCAAGTGTGTGGCGAGTAAACTTTTGAGATGGTTCATTGGTTCTGAGAGATTCATCAGTCAATTCGTTTTATAGTTGTGCACAAATTTTGTCGAAGTGGAGACAGTTAATTTTAATTTGAAACACTTTTGTCACATTTTTAATGTTCATGCACTGACTTCAAAATCTCTATAATGACTCAATCAACGTAAAAGAAGAATCTTAAACCATGATCAGCTTTTCTCACCATTTTTCGAAACTTAGAGCTGTTCTACTTCTACCCGCAATGGAATGTTGCATACGCACTTTAACATCCCAATAATTAATTTCACATTGGATTTTCTCGTGTCTTATAATTTATGAGACGACTATTATTTTGTCGTGAGAGAGCGTGTGTTAATGAGCAAAGTCTTATAGGTATGTCCAATCACTGTTTTTTGTTCAAATGCATCAATGTATTATTAAATATTACTCCTATGGTTGTACATGCTTGTGTGTGTATTATTGATGAATGAGACTCCTAACCAAACCGGATGTTTGGATAAAAATGTTTTTACAATTTACAAAATAAATATATAAAGGGATTTGTCGTTTTGCAAAAATGCCAAGCACCGCCTAATATTACTTACAGTAATGTTTATTAGACGGAGATATGTTCTTTACCGCGTAACCTAGGAACACTGGTCACTGGTGGCTGATCACATCTGAAAAGTGAAAACCATATTTATTTCCTTCTACCTTCAATGTATTTTGACTTTTCTAGCTGTGAAATAAATATTGCTAATTTCATACTTCATCTAGTCCTTAATATAAAATTTAGTTAATTAATTTAGAAATAAAAAAATTAATTAAGTTAGTTATTTGTACTACTTCCGATCCTAATTATAAGACCTCATTTGTAGACAAACAAGGTTTTATAATTAAGACAAAAAATAGTAATAAATAGGTATTGTATTTACTAAAATACTCTTACTAATAATATGTATTAGCTAGAATCATCATTTAATGAAACTTTTAATATGTACAACTATTACAATGACTATTTTAAAAAAATAGATAAATATGAAGAAAAAAAGTGAATTCAGGTCTTATATTTAAGACCAGATGAAAAGTCAAACAATGTCTTATACTCTTCCGGTCCTAATTATAAGACCCAATTGACTTATTTGAGGAGACTAAGGAAGTAAGTTAAATTGGTTATTTATAATAAATAAGTGTTGTCATTCCTAAAATATCCTTGCTAATTAAGTATATTGGCTAAAACTATCATTATTAGAAGGATTATCTTGAAAAAAAATGCATAAATATAAGAGACAAAATGGATTGGGTCTTATAATTAGGACCAAATAAAAAATCAAATTGGGTCTTATAATAAGGACCGGAGGAGTATTAAATATCGAAGGTAGTACAACAAAAACATTGAGAAATTATTATCCCACTAAGTGAGGTTAATTATAAGAATCCTTTGATGTCATTGTGCTCTGCTCATTGTTAATTTCATAACTACATAACATTTTGTTCTTCTTATTTTTTTAATTCCTACAAAATTATATATTCTTAATTTAACTTCTTATATATATGAGAAATTTTAATCTACGCAGTCATGAGTTTCTTTTTACTTGAATTGATACTTTCACATGTAAATATTTCAAATTTAAATTTTGCAAATAATTTATAATTTAAAAAACAGAAATAATTAAGGTGACACTTGATGATCTTGCCTGCTGATTTAGATCTGTCCAAACCTGTTTTGATTCATTAACCCAGCTCATGGTATTGGCTCTAAGTCAATAATTTTAAAGAAACATTGCTCGTATTTAATATATATGTCATTAAAAAATAATTATCTACCCTGTAGTATATGAAAAACATAATAGTATATTCATACTAAATTTAAATAAAATAACTTATAAATAAAATTAAGAAAATAATAAGAGGAGTGATTCACATATAGACATCCATAAGCAAAGCAGGCGCGTCAACAAATAAATAAAAGTGATTTCGTATGATAAATAAATAAGAGGATTTATTACAAACTTCAAATTTTATATTGATGCGTTCGTATTTTAATATTTTTAATTGGAAAAACAAGTAAAATTAATTTCCTAATTCCTAACCCGTCGCCTCCTCGCCTTTTGTCAGCCATGACGAACTGAGTTTGACCGTGGGGGGCTTGAAGCGCAAGAAAAGTCACAGGCAACACAATACCTTATAAAGTAATAAAAGAGGTTAAAGCAGAATCATATATATAAAAACATCAATTCATTTTATTTTATATATTTATATTTTTTATAAAAAAAATTAATTTATCTGGCTTATAAATTATTATATAATATAATATTATACAGAAATATTTTAGGAAGATGATATCATATATAAGAATATTTATCTAACTAATTTATCTAATTTCTTAATATATCAAAATTAATTAAGCAGATGTAGTATTAGAGAGGCAGATTTTATTTAATTAATTTACATTTATTTAAAAAAACCTTTTTTTTCCAGTGAACCTAGACATAGACAACATTTTGCGGAACTTAGAAATGCTAACACTTATTTACATTTGGTCAAACTTGCTATCGTCTTTTCAAAATTAAATTATATAAGAGCTAGTTGACTAATTTGAGAAGATTAAGAAAATAAGTAAAATTAGTTATTTGTAATAAATAAGTATTGTCTTTACTAAAATATCCTTGGTAATCAATTGTATTGGCTAGAACTACTATTATTAGAAGGATTACTTTAGGAACAAACACATAAATATTAGAGATAAAGTGCATTGGAGTTTTATATTTAGAATCTAAATAAAAATCAAACAAGATCCTTATATTAAGGATCGAAAGTAGTATTGCGTAATGGAAAAAGTCAAAAGCGCACTTTACCTCATAAATTGACACGATTTAATAATCAATCACATTTGCTTCGTATTGCCGCCATAATTTGACCAAATCATAGACGCAAAATTCTCATACCCGGAGTTGTTATTACTTTAGGGTTGAGAAAGGACGAAGAAATTTCCTAGAACACCTAATTCCCACCCAGTTACCTTTCTCTTCTATGAATGTTTATTTATAATATCTGTTTCATATCTGCTCTGGGATTCATCGGATGAAATGAAGAAAGAACGTAATTACTGAACTATTGACCAGTAGATGGGTATTTGTGTCGATCGCTTAGCCAAAACTAATCATATACTGATAAGATTTTTTTTTTTTGGTGTTTGAATATCATGACTAGAATTTCACAAATTAAAAAAATTAGCTCTCTGAGGTAATGTTTAACTTAAAATCCATTTTTAATCTCTCGAAAATGTATATTTTTATACTATTAATTTGGTGTTGTCTGAGAAGTGTTGATCAAGAGAATTACTACCTTGAATTATCAATATAAAAACTAGATAATTAATTTATAAATTTAAAAAAAATAGTTAAATCAATTATTTATAATAAATAAATGTTGTGTTTTCTTAAATATTTTTATTAATTATGTGTATTTGACTGAACATCCTTTAATTCCATATGAGCTATTTTGAAAAAACATATTGAATGTAATCTGTTATTAATAAACACGTCGGTATCTTTCCAAGTACGGATCTCAGAAAAATATATATATATATATATATATATATATATATATATATTAAGAACATGTATTTCCCTTTTGAGACATATTGGTCTCGGAAACCCAAAATGTGAATGTCATATCGAGATGAAATAAAGTGACGAGCTTGCCTCATGCTTAAAAGTGATACTCGAGCAATGAGCAAATGGTCAACCTGGCTCTGGCATTGTGGAGTTGCATCATCGACAATCTGATTAGCAAAGGGACGGTATTATTGGAAGTTCCCGATAATGCCTGATTAGCAAATGGTTTTGAGGAGGATGACATCACTTAGATCCCAAAGGATGCCATTCAGTGTGGAATAAAGTGATGAAACGACCCCCTTAGCAGGTGCCTCTTCCATCCCCGGATCAGAGGCAGAGAAAAAGTTGAAGCAGGTACCTGAAAGCAAAGGGGAAAAACAAAAGGAGGCCCCTGCACTTGAGATGCGAGGGAAATCACCCAAATTAGTGGATCCATTGTATTCTTGAAGAAAATTATACGCTGAAATTCTATTATTAGCTACCGCAAAATAACTCCAGGACAGAGTATTGTATTTTACTTGGGCTCAGTAAATTAGACGGAGGCAGTGGCACAAGGTACAGAATCTGGTGTAGCCATGAAACTGAAACTGAGAAAAAAATAATCCAAATGACCGAAACTTTTGAAACAAAAACGTCTACCAACTTTCAGTACATCCAATATGGACCTGTAATTTTTACAAACATGTCCCCGGCATTTCTTGATTGCACCACCAAGTCCACAAGCTTGCACGCAGAAGGACGGCGGGGACCTGATTGGACTGATAAGACGAAAACGAATGCTAAGAATCTGCTTAGGAAATCATAGCACGTCAACAAGATCAACAACAGATGCTTGTTGGAACAATGATTGTTTAAAATTTATGAAGGCAGTGGAGGAAAACATCCTAGATGCTAGGAATCTAAAATAGCCATCAATATGCTCCATGCAACACCAGTATATTCCCCTTATAGTGCTATCTTTATTCTAAAATTGTTGATCATCTGGAGCAAATCATGACCTTATTAGACATAAAAACGTCAAAAATCTAACAAGACTAGAAATACATCAATCACCAAAAATCA